CATACTGGTATTCATAAAAAAAAGTTTCTTTTAACATTAATTAAGTTTGCTCTCACCAAGCTATGAAAAGTTAGAAAATACAACGTAAAGGATTAAAAAGGATTACAGAAGAACCTCAGAGCTATGAACACAGAAGTTATGAACTGACCGTACTCCTCATATAGAAGCAGAAGTATACCATGAAGCAGCAGCAGAGACCACATTGAAAAAGCAAAAGCAAATAAACATAAACCACTTTGCAAAAAGAAAGTAATCTTTTGTCAATAAATGCATACTGGTAAGAGCATTGTCTAATTCCTGTCATTTTCTCACACCACTGCAGTCATTTTAACTACTTTGTTTTCTGACACAGTACAATAATATAAAAAAAGAAGGCAGACAAAAACAGTATAATAAAAATGGTCTTCAAAGTATAGTCTCAGCCTTAGATATTAAACCAAAATTGATGCTATATACAAACAGTGGCTCTCTCAATACCTTTTATGCCACAAATTATTGTTTTCACTTTTCCAGAAACTTGCACTACATTGACAAAGTATTTGCACGTGATATTCTACAATTAGAGATCTCCTATGGTAATTCATATTTGTGCCACTGGATTAAGGGAGAGGACCAGGGGAAAATTACACAAACCTGTAAATTCCAGATTATGTCCCTAATCCTGCAAATATAGATCCACTATTTTAGAAATCCCACTGAAGTCAAGTGGACTCTGTAATGGAATTTGGCACAAGGGACTGACGGGGTACAAGGAGAAAGTAATTAGCCATGGTCCATAATGCCAAGCTACTAGAGTACTCTGAATCTACTTTCTACATTAGAAGCAACAGAATGATGAAGGAAAATATTGGTCCTCTTCTTAGCGGCAAAGGAAAGCAAAAAAATTATGTCAAAGGGGTTCAGTTCCTATTTTGCTTCAGTCTGCACTAAAACAGTTAATGATGAACAGAGATGCAACACAGTTAACAGTAATAAGGAGTAGGAAATGCAAGCTAAAATGGGGAAATAACAGGTTAAAGTCTATTTAGATAAGCTAAATGGACAGAGGCTGATGACATTTATCCTAGGATACATAAAAAAGCAGCTGGCGCAAACTTAGAACCATTTGCAATTATTTTCCAGAACTCGTGGAAGATGGAGGAAGACTCAAGAGGAATGGAGAAGGGTAAACCCAATACCTATCTTTTAAAAGGGAAACAAGGAGGTCCCATGGCATTATAGACCAAGAAGCTGAATGCAGATTGCTGGAAAGATACTGAAGCAAATGATTAAACAATCAATTTGTGACCACCTAAAAGACCATAGGGTTATAAGTAGGGTTGTTAGAAATAATTTATTTTAATCATGGGTGGTTGGTGAAGGCAGGGCTGCGGGACACAAGCCCCCAACCCTACCTCTAGCCCCCAACCTTATGCTGAGGCCTCACCCCTTGCCCACGCCCCATGGGGAGGCGGGGCAGCGCACCACACACACGCTTCCCCCCTCCCAACCACAGGGAGGGGAGCAGTGGGCACACAGCATGCCCCCAGTCTACCTAGCCCCGGGGGAAGGCACGCGATGTCACAGGGCCTGGCCTGGCCCAGCCCTGGAGCACCAGGAGAAGGAGGAGTGCATGCCACACAGCTCAGCCCCGAGTCTCCAGCTCCGGAGCACTGGGGAATGGAGGAGGGCAAGCTGCGTGAGGAAGGCAGAGGACACACGATGGCCCCAGCCTCCCCAGCCCCAGAGCACTGGGAGGGAGGGCGCTGGGGGCAGCAACACTCTGCCCGCAGAACACCTACAACAGGCGTTCTGGGAGTGGAGTGTGAGCAGGGCTATGCCTGGTGGCTTGGGAAGCAAAGCCTTCCCCCACCTAACATACCAGATGCCCATGACTTTAATAATAATGTAACCACAACAGTTACTAACAGTTCCACAATTACAAAAATGCTCTCCCCCAAGGGCGAAGCCAGCAGCCAGTGTTCTCTCAGCCTCACTCCCAAAGAGCCCCCCCACCACCACCCCATGCAGCGGGAGCATGGGATGGCAGGCGGGAACCAATCCATGAGGGGGAGCCAGTTTAAAAACTGTCTCCTGCCTGCCATCCCCCACGCTGCTGCCTTTGATACAGAGGCAGCAGCGCAGGGTGGCAGCAGTCCCTGTCCACGGGGGTGTTTAACTGGCTCCCCGCAAGGAACGGCTCCTGTATCAGAGGCAGCAGCATGGGGAGGCAGGCAGCTCCCCACTATGCTCTTCATTTAAAACTTGGACCAGCCGCCTGGGACTGAGCCAGCCTGCTGGTCCAAGTTTTAAAAGCAGAGCACATTGGGAGGAGTGTCGCAGTTAACTGGGCCGTTAACTGATAACCAATTGCTTATCAGTTAAATGGTTAGCTGGCTAGCCATGCTATCATCCCTAGTCATAAGGAATAGCCAGCATAGTGCTATCAACAATAAATTGCACCAAACCAAAACAATTTCCTTCTTTTGAGTTACTAGCCTAGTGGATGAAAGGAAGCAGTAGATATGATATAGCTGGAGTTTAGTAAGGCTTTTGACAAAATTCCACATGCCACTCTCATGAACAAACTAGGGAAATATGGCCTAGATGAAATTACTATAAAACAAGTTGGTAACGGGTTGAAAGAACATACTCAAAAAGCAGTTATCAACAGTTTGCACTTAAACTGGGAGGATGTATTCAGTGGAGTCTCACAGGTCTCACTCTTGGGTTTGGCACTGGTTGTCATTTCATTACTGACTTGGATGATGGAGTAAACGTGCTCACAAAATCAGTGGTTGACACCACGCTGGGAGGGGTTGCTTTACTTTGGAGGACAGAATTCAAATTCAAAACAACCTTGACAAATTAGAGAATTAGTCCAGAAATCAACAAGATGAAACTCGATAAAGAGAAGTATAAAGTACTTTGCTTCAGAAAGAAAAAATCAAATGCACAGCCTCAAAATAGGAATAACTAGCTAGGTGGTAATACTGCTGAAAAGGCTCTGGAGGTTCTAGAGGATCACAAATTGAATACAAGTCAACAATGTGATATGGTTGCAAAAAAAGCTAATATAATTCTAGATAGTAATTAGCAGAAGTGTCCTATGTAAGACTAGGCAAGTACCTGTCCCACTGTACTCAACACTAGTGAGTCCTAGTCTGGAGTACTAAAAATTGGAGAGGCCAGAGACCAGCAACAAAAATGACAGAAGGTTTAGAAAACCTTATCTATGAGGAAAGATTAAAAAAGTTGAGCAGGTTTAGTCTCGAGAAAAGAAAACCTGGGAGGAGATCTAATAGCCTTTAACATATTTGAAAATAGTTATTATAAATTGGATGAATTATTTTTCATGTCTACTGAAGGTAGGAGAAGAAGTAACGGCAGCATGAGAGATATAGTTTAGATGTTGGGAAAACTTACTAATTATAAGGATAGCTGATTTCTGAAATGGTCTTCTAATGGTGGTTAATAAGAACAGGTTACAGAAACACCTGTCAGAGATGGTCTAGGATGGTAAACTCAGTCCTTCCTCAGTGCAGTGTTTGGACTTAATGACTTCTCAAGGCCCCTTCCAGTCCTATATTTCTATGATTCTTTTGTCCTTTTCTTTCAGCTCCCAACAAAGTTTGTGTTGGATAGTTTCATTTTGTGTGTTATTTTTGTTGCCTGGTTTGTATTTTAATTATTTGTGATTTGATTTTCTTTTAGAAGATTAAGAGATCCATATATAGAGAAATGATTTTTATTTTATTTTATACACAGAGACGATGGCCGTGAAGCTTTACTACAGGTTGAACCTCTCTAATCCAGCACCATTCGGATGTGACCAATGCCGAACTTGAGAATTGGCCAAACTACAGATTAATACTGTCCAACACTTCCACTGCTCAAAGAGCTCTTAGAAGATATTTAAGAGTAAATTAGAGCTATATGACAGCACATAAAACTGAGAACCAGGACTGGTTGCTGTAACCCAGTGTTTCTTTTTAAGATCAAGGAACACCAAACAATTTTTTTTTTTTTAATGAGGAACACCAAGGATTTTTTATTTTTTTTGGTTGGGCCAAAAAAAAAAGTCGCCTGCCCCTATAAAGGCAGCCATTTTGAATTCTGTTGTTCTCCACGGGATACTGGTGTGCCTCAGAACACAGTTTAAGAAACACTGCTGTAAACAAACTTTATGGGACCAGGGGAAACTTGGCCACACCCATGATAAGTGGACAAAAGTCTAACTAGAATCATGCTGGACCATGGATGCTGGCGGACCAGAGAATGCCCAACTAGAGAGGTTCAACCTATAATGAAATATTTTTAAAGCAAATCTAAAAATAAAGTCCTACAATTAAAGGATGATCCCATTTTACCATAGATACTCAGAATATTTTTCTCCTTCTTGTAATGAAATGGCTCTGACTTGAAAATATATTAAAAGTCAAACTCTTAGGTTAAAGGAATGATCTGTAAAACATTTATTTATAAAAACATTAATGAGTCACTGTTTAAAGGGAAAACAACCACAAAAGTTTGCAAATGGGCTTTCCCAACACATCCTCCCAAATTCATCCAAACTCAACGCTCTGAAAAAATAGGCTCTAAGCCCAAGACCTTGTGTTAAGTTTCTTCCCAGTATATTACATTTGCTCATTTGTTTTCAGTACGTACTCATAGCCTGATCTTAGAACGTTTAATTATTCAATTTAGTGCTTACCCATGTCTAAGTAAGGTTGCAAGATCAGGGTCTGAATTGTTAGCCTTTGACAAAAGGCCTCTAGGAAGAAAAGCAGTAGAATAGCAATAAGTTAAGCAGCTAGCTCTGCTGAAGACTAACTAGTGAATTATATGAGACATTTGGTTTACATTACATGAAACCAAAAGAGCTTGCAGAATGTAATTTTTAAAGTTTAACTATGCTCAGGTGAAAATATGCATATTGTCAAATGCTTTAAATGAGTCTTTGTCAATTACATTTATCTGTAATAAAACTCCAAATTCTAGCATGTCTTGCCAATACTCACAGAAACCTTCAATCTTGTCTGCTGTCTTGCTCCAGGCCACCTGCCTAGTTTCCATTATGACTTGGATGGTCCTCCTTTCTGGAGTAAACTTCTTGAGGCTGAATACTGTCATAACCGTTCCCAGTTCCAGAGTTCTTTTGATCTGGCTCTTCTCATACTCCGGTAGCACTCCATAGTCTATGCTCTTTCTGGACATTTTTAAAAAATCAAATTTCATCAAACTGATACGATCCCGATGTGCTGAAAAAGGGGAGAAGGGAGCAAAATTTAATATTTTAACACTTTTGTTTTATTTCCTTCAATTTAACAAAAAAAAATAAAAAAGATCTGTGTTGAAAAAAGATCAACATGAATCACTGCCATTCAGGTACAAGCATACAGTCTCACAGCTACCTGGTTAACCGTAACAACAGTGCTACCTAGTTTGTGAGGTTTTCAAGGAGAAAAGTGTTTTGCTGGGGAAAAGACCAGTGATCCAGAGGAGCAGGACTCAGAACAATCAGCTGGGTGGAGCAGCCCTAGCAGTCAATGAAATATGATATCAGATTCTAAACCAAACAAGAACTTCTCTGTTTGATCAACAATGCAATGCCACCTATAGGTTGAACCTGTCTGATCTGGCATACTCTGGTCCAGTAATATCTGTGGTTCAGCACTCAGGCACCGACTCTGTGCATGCTCCAGGGCTCTCGCACGCAGGCAGCCCTAAGCTCTCTAACTCTTCCCCCTCCATCACAGTACTTCCAGAGTACCACGCCCGCCTCTTATTCCTGTCTGTGCCCCTCACTGCACTAGACCTGGGACCACAGCAGCTGTGGAGTCCAGGAGCAGAGCACTGGGGAGGAGGCAGGGACTCCAGGCAGCAGCAGAGGGCCCTTGGCTGGGACCTGAGGCCAGCATCAGAAAACCCCTGGCAGCGGCAGAGCAGCCACCAGGTGCAGGTTCAAAGCCTGGGAGTGCCGCAGCACCCCTCTGTTCCTCTATTTTCCTTGCCTGTGGAGATCTGTTCATATTCTGTATTGACCTCCTGTGGGTCAGCATATTCTCTTGATTGGCACTAATGCCAGACTGAAGATGTTCAGCGTGTACTATCTAATGTTCCACAGTAACTTAAGGTGAGCTAAGGTCATTCAGGCCCAAATTCACAGCAGTATGTGAATAAATGTTCTCCCTCATCTCTTTGGTGTAGGCAGGAAAGCTGGGATTGCAAGCACACAAAGGTAGCGTAAATGCATGATCCTTGACTTCATACCCAGTTACAAATGTGATCTGTCTCTTTAAAATATTATGATGCTCAAAATTGTATTTCACACAGTGGATTATCTGATTCTCCCCAGAAACAACAGAGAAGACATGGGAAAGAAAACCCTTTAAGAGGAGATAAAAGAGGAGTGTCAGCTGTGCTGTGACAGAGAAAGCATCTGAAACTAAAAGGAGATGTACACAAGAGAAGACTGCCTATCTTATAACAAAGAAAGCAACTAAAAATAATCAAAAAACCAGATATGTGTGAGGAATTATTTTGTTCAAATGTTAAGTCTAGGTCTACAATAGAAACATTTGCTGTTATAGGAATGTCAGGTAGAAGTGTGATTTGTTTTCAGCATTTCTGAAGCAGCAAAAACCCTAGTATAATGCAGCAATACAGATGAGCATTTCTGGAACTACCAGTATATCTTATTTCGCTCACCAAACCATGATAAAATATAATAGCAAAATAACTTCTTCAGTATAAGCGGTGTCAGCAAGAGAATTTGCTACTATAACTGTAAAAGTATATTTAGACTGGCAACCATTTTCTAGGGTAGATTTGCCATAAATACTTGATCCAAACTGTATTGTAAGCTTTTTTCCCCCATTAGATCTATCCCTGGGTCCTTTCACACCACAGAATAGTCTCCAATCCAGTTTCTTTCTTTTACTAAGGTGCATCTCATTGACACCAAAAGGTGAAAAATAGCTTTGACTCATTCAGCAAATTATTCTCTTTTACAGGGTGATCTAGAAGTATCACTAAAGGTTTCAATGCAGTCTGGATCTGATGAATTCAAAGATTAAATCATAAGCAAATGTCTAGAATTTGGCTTCCTTTAGGTACTCCCAGCATATGTTAAACAATGTACCTTCACCCCCAAGGCCCAGCTCTCCAATAATCGTTAGAACAGCTTTTCATTTTTTTAAATTGTTTTACAAGGAATGAGACCACTAACCCTTCACTCTTGGCAATTTTCTATAATAGGAACACACAGAGAGACAGTAGCAGCTCTATTCCAAATCTGAAAGTAGTGCTTCCTTTTTTCCGATAAGACGTCTTGTCATTTAGAATACTGTCATATTTATATTCTATATCAGCTTTTTCCCAGTGTTGTATGTGCAAACTAAAAACTTTCAAGGCAGGACTATACTGTAATTAGACATTCATGGCTGGTTGGACTCACAGGTCTTGGGCTGAGGTGCTGTGGTTTAGACATTCCAACTTGAGCTGCAGTCTGAGACCTTAGACCTTCCCACCTCCCAGTCACCAGCCCAAGACATACCCTTTGAGCCTGAAAGCCAAGATATTACAATGTCTTCTGCTGTCAGAAATCTCTAGAAATCTTTTACATCCTGAGTATTAAGATCAAAGCAGCTTAGATATCAATAAGGAACATAAGGCTCTGCAACAGTTTTAAAGTAGCCCTAAAATCTTACCATCCCTAACTCTGAGTTTGGCCTTCTCACAAAGCGTAAATGCTGCCTATAAACTGCTTGGGGGAAAATCTGGATCATTTCTAATTGGGATGCAGGTAGGGATGTAAGCAACTAATCAACTATCTGATAACCAAAAGCTTATCAGATAGCTGACACATTAGTCGACTAGTCGCTTCCCACCCTTGCTGCCTCTATCACAAAGAGGCACCAGGGGTTGAGGGGAAGAGGCAGAGGTGCTGGAGGGAGCCAGCTTAAAAACTGGTTCCCCCCAGCTCCAGCTCTGCTGGGGCTCTTGTGCATTTCAAAGGTGGAACGTGGACGTTCTTATCGACTAATCAAATACTCGACGGGAATCCTATCGACTATCTGATAGTTAATTAATTGAAATTCAACATCTCCAGATGCGGGGAGGAAGAGGCTAAAACTTGCTCTTACTCTGCCTTAGAAACAAAGTACTAATTGATACTAAAGGGGGTCTTTGATATCTGGTTAGAAATCTGGCTGTATCCAAATTAGTGATCTCTCTCTTCCAGGGCTACTCAACTTTGGTAGTCCCAGGGGCCACAATGATACTCACAGCACATGTCGAGGGCCGCAACTTCAGTGTGGTTGCACATACATGCAAATATATATGCAAATCTATGCAAATAGCTTCTTTCACACTGACAGGCATGAATACAGAGCACTTCCCAAAATGCCCCGGTACTCCCAGCACCTCCTCCCTGGGGGCTAGAAACGCCGACACCCTGTACCCATCTGTTCCAGCCAGCCCTTCTGCTTGCATCTTTCAATGCTCACGCCGCCTGGGAGACACCTCGCTGTTATGGAGCATTTTCCCATTGGAGGCTACGTTCAAAGGATTCCACCTGCAGGCCATGTGTTGAGCCCCATGTAAACCCAAACCGCACTCCAGGCCGAAAACAAATAGGCCACGGGCTGAGTGTTACGTAGCCCTGCACTACACCACATCAAGCTGAGAATGCTGCCGGAAAGGTAGTCACTAAAACATGGGATAACAGAAGAAAAGGTCAGCTCCTCAACTGGTGTAAATTGTCAAAGCTCCACTGGAATTTACACTAGCTAAGGATCTGATCCTTTAATGGGGAAAAATACAAGCAAATAACAATATTGTATTTACTATCAGTCTTTTAACCTTTAAAGCTTTATGACCATATGGTACTTACATCTCCACGTGGTCGCCTCATCTCTTATTTATGTGACAGATAACACATATTTCGGTATATGACAGCCATCAAGCAAGAGACTAGGGATGTAAGAGGTTAACTGGTTACCCAGTAAGCAAAAGGCTTCTTGTCCGGCTTACCCGGTAACAGGCTTGAACAGAACAGCCCCCACTCCCAGCCATGGTGGGCCCACACAGTTGGATTGCGGTGCAGTGGGCCAGAACAACCCGCTGCCTGCGGCCACAGCAGATCAACCCAGAACAGCCTCCAGTCTGTGGCCATGGCAGGCTCAGCCTCTTAGAGCCTGCCCATAGTGCAGAGGATCAGAGCACCCCGCTGCCCGTGGCATAGTTGTTAACTGGTTAAATGATGTACATTTAATCATTTAACTAATTAGCTATTTTAATTGGTTTTTAGATTCCTGAAGGAGACTGCTGACACATTGCTTAATTTGCAATGAAAGAGGTACAAGGGCTCATGCAGTTAGGTGCCAAGGCGCAAGCAATATTTTTACATTCATAATTGATGCAGCAAAGCCAGAGGTGCCAGAGCTATGACCAACCATTCCCAAAGATTCCAGGGCACAACCCCGGCACAAATTAAACACCACTGAGACACAACAGGCCCAATGCACGTCCTGCAACTCTCATACATATCAACAGGCTTCTGTGTCTCAATCTCCAGCACACCATCGCAGCTCTGAACTAATTGCCATCATGGTTGCACTCCGCAGTAGTGCAGAATGCTGCACACAATGGACACTGCGGAGGTATTCTTTCTTCTGTGAGCAAAGGAGGAAGTGGTTTAATTTTCACACAAGAAGCAGTGGCTGTCACCACAGCTTTCTTGACCATCCCCCCTCAGAGCTCAGGAGCAGGAAGAGCTTTAAAAAGCCCCTCAAGCAGCTTCAATCACCAGCTCCCGAATCTCCTCTGGTTCTCTTCCTCTCGCCTCAATCCACTACCCTTCACTGTGAGCAGTTTCAGTTTCCATGTTTATAACCAATCTGGCTCTGCTGCTTCTTGCTTCCCTTCTGTAACCTCCTTCTTTAACCCAACTCCTCCTAATCACTGTATCCTGAACTGCTCTTGTTCTCTTCAGATTTTCCTCCCCCACCAGAACTATTTGCTTTCTTCTCGCCATCTCACCACCCACTCCGTTCATAGTGTCCCATTCCCAACCTTCTCAAAGTTCTCTGCTACAGTCACCCTTCTCTTTCAAATCCCTTCTTAAATAACACTTCACTGAATCCAGTACACTGATGAACAGGATAACAATCTCTTACCTGCACTGTTATCCCATTTTATATTAGATTCCAAGCTCTCTCAAGCATGAACCCATGTCTTAGCCTATGTTATGGTATTCTGTACCCATTTATTCATATTAAATTCTTCTATTAACTCTAATGAGAGTTATATATTGCAAACCTCAGGGAATGACGACAACTTACCTTTCAGGGTCATTGTATGGGTAGAATTTAGCCAAAAGTATAACTGACTCTTTAGTCTCTATAAAATGAAATTACATAATTTGTTCAAGAAATTATTGTGGATTCATATCTAATGGTCTAACTATAAGTCCTTCGTTGCAATACTTTCCATAACAGAAGATAATGGCAATGCATGCAAAAAAAATAAATTCAAGCCATGATCTGACTTTGACTTTCGAACTTGCAACAGCGGCTCTTGCACAGAGTTTTTTAAAAATAACTTTTAGACGTTTGTTTTTTAATGCTCCACTGAATTACATACAATCAAGTGCCTGCGTTCTAAATGAAAATAACAAAACAGATCTGATCTGTCTTTAATAGGGAGAACCAGTGGCTGTAAGGTAAAAATAATTAAATTTACTTCATTTGAAGAATGCTTGGGGGAATCTCTTCAAACAGTAAGTTGTCTAATAAGGGTGGACTTTTGTACACAGGTTGGCCCTCCCTGGTTTAGCACCCTTGGGACCTAACTGGTCTCAAATGAGGGGATTTGCCCAACAAGGGGAGGTTTCTCCCCTCCTGGACAGTGCTAAACCATTTCTTCCCTCCGCCCCCACTCCAGACTCCAGCCCACTCCACTGCTGCCTGGTCTCTCCCTGAGCCGGAGCTCTCTAGCTTCCGCTGGCCCTGCAGCTGCCAGGTCTGGAGCTGCATGTCCTCTGCTGGTGCCAGAGCTGCACAGCCAAAGCCAGAACTCCCTAGCTGCCTTCAGGGACAGAGCTTCCTGGCTGCCACCGGGACCAGAGCTGCACCGCTGCTGCTGGCCCCCTGTTACTGCCCAGCTGTTAGGGACAGATTTCCCTGCTGAGCTCCCTTTCTTCCCCGCACACACACAGGGCTCTTGGCT